CTCCCTTCCTTCTTCATGTGGTATCACCCCTGGGAAATGATCAAGAACTCCTCCAGCTTCACTTTCGTCATCCTCCACAACTTCTTTCTGCACCCTTTCTTGCTCTTCTTCTTCTAGCACGGATTGGAGAGCAAGTTGCCAAGCAATTTCTTTCATGAGATCTTCTTGCATCTCCTCACTCATGCCCGCCTCTTCAAAGCTCTGGTTGGGGTGTGGGAAGGTGTGGTCGGCTATGACATGACAGGCCTGATCATGATCATCACGGGAGCTCTCCGTGACAACTTCAGTGTGTTCCACAATGCCCTTGTAGCCTTCTTCTTCCTCCTCCTCTTCTTGTATGGTAGCAGAAGGGTGATCTGGAGCAGGTTGCGCCCAAGATCGCTCAAGATCATCGACGCTCTTCTTAAAGCTCAGGAGGATCTCATCTGTTTCACGATAGGCCTGGACACACTGATCCATCCTGGAGCATATTCTCTCACAGTCTCGAGCATACTGCTCCATGAGTAACTCCAGTGCCGATGGCCCTTCTGGTTGTGGGAGAAATTCTTCTTGATAATGAGGTTGTTCTTGATATGCCCAGGGGTCCGGTTGTTCTCCGTAGTAAGGGGGTTGGTACTGGAACCCGAATCCATAGTCTTCTCCGGCTTGATTGCTCCACGGAGTCTCGGGGTAATACCACCCAGATGGTGGTGGATACCCCCAATGATTGGAGAAGCCATTAGGATCCATGATTCAGATCTGCACCAACAAAAACAAAAACACCCAAGTGAAAAGCAAGGGTGGAAAAGAAAAGAAAAGAAAAACGCTAAAGTAACAAACTTCTGCTTTTCCTAATACTCTAGAAAGTCCCCGGCAACGGCGCCAAAAACTTGATTCGCTAAAACACAACACCTAACAATGGCCAAGTGTAACCAATGAAAGGGACTGCAGTATAGTGGCACAAGTAATAAATATCGAATCCACGGGTCTCTAGAGTTACTATTACTCAACTTCAGTTTATTATTTAGCAAACCAGATTAAGATGAAAGAACTAAAACTACCCTAGCAAACTACAGTTAAAGTTAATCTAATTACAGGTTGGGAACTCACTTAGGTATGATTCCCCCTAGCCACTAGCCAGATTAACGATTGATGATTTCTAACCTGTTTCACTTTCATTCACAATGCGGAGAATCCTTGACTAGACCTTGAGTCTCGACTAAAGGAACAAGGCCCTCTTGAGTCAATTGCCTAGAGGGACGTATCCTTCTCTAGAACAACTGATCAAGGCGTTCTGAACTAGACTCCCTCTATCGAAAGAGGTTCTCAATCGATACAAAGCAGTGAATCAACCCTCGACTAAAGCAATCGATCCACTACTATCAATCTATGGTGCTCTATTGACCTAATCAGGTATTCCCTCTCATAGAATCAAAGCAGAATCAATAATCTCGACTAAAGCAGAATTGAATCATGAAAACATGCATAGATTGAATATGAACTCAAGATTATCAAGTCAGAGTACTCATACAATCATCCAATCAAACAAACATAGCTAGGGTTCCTCAAAACCTAAGTGAAGGGAAGTTACTCCATAGAGAAAAGAGAGACTGCAGTAAGAATCTTCAGATGATCAGTCTTCAAGTCCGGGCTTGTTCCTCGAGCTTCCAAGGCGAAGAAATCCTCCTTCTCTACTCCAAGAATGCCCTCAAATCGCCCTCTCTCTCTAGGGTTCGTCCCTTGGGTGTTTGGGATCCAAAACCCAGCTCTCTCTCTTCTTTGGTTCGGAATTTGGCTTAAAACCAGGAAATCCCGACTCGCACGGCCAGGGTGCACGGCCGTGCACATCACCATTCTGGCCGTGCACCTCAAAACGCGGCGTATCAATTAGTTGAACCTCAGCCAACTCGCACGGCCAGAATTGTATGTTGCACGGCCGTGCGTGGCCACGCACAATCCCGTGCGTGCCCACGCACAATCCCGCACGGCCAAACTGGTTACTTGCACGGCCGTGCGTGGCCACGCTGGTCTGCCCGTGCAGCTTGCTCAGCCTCTGTTTAATGCTTCGTTTCTCCCTCGTCCGGACTCCGAATCAGTCGCCGTTTGATCCCAGACGCTCGTAGTCTCGTCCTCTTTCGTTTCATAACAAGCTTGCACGCTTCTTTGTCCATAAAGTGAGGTAGAAATCCATTCTTCTTCAGGTCATGCCCGAGTTTCCTCTCTCGAATCGTCAATTGATCTCTGATTGACTTGAAACTTGCGCCTATGCTTCACTTTATGTGCTAGGACCTGAAATGGGACAAAGGAACACAACCTAGCATAAAATAGGCCAAAAACGTAATAATTCAAGCTCAAACAATCAAGAAACAAAGGGGAAAACATGTGCAAATGCCGAGTCATCAATAAGATTGTTCTATGTGTCGCTTCTTCTGGGATTGCAGCCCTTTTAATGGATGGGGGTAGAACAGCTCATTCTCGATTTCACATTCCAGTAGACCTTGATTGCAGATCGACATGTCATATTGACCAGGAAAGTGAATTAGCAGAGCTCATTCAACGTGCTTCATTGATTATTTGGGATGAAGTTGTAATGTCACACAAGCATGCAGTGGAAGCTGTAGATAAATCATTGCGGGATATCTTACGGTTTTGGTATGAAAACAGTCAGTGGAAGCCCTTTGGAGGCCTTACAGTTGTTTTTGGAGGAGATTTTAGGCAGACTTTGCCTATAGTATTGAAAGCTTCACGAGGTGATATTGTGAACTCATCTATAAAGAGATCTTACCTGTGGCCCCATTTGAGGGTAATTAAATTAGTTGAGAATATGAGGCTAGCACGATCTAATTGCTCTCCGGAGGAAATTGTTGAGATAACTACTTTTCAGAATTGGCTCTTACAAGTAGGAGATGGAGTAGATTCAGATGTGTTTGGTGAGTCTTTGATTCCCATACCTCAGGAATTAGTAATTCCTCGACAGATTGATCCTGTTACTGATATTGTCACCTCGATATACAGTGATCTTAGTAGTCATGCAGGAGATCATAATTATTTAGTCCATCGAGCTATCTTGGCTCCACACCATGATATGGTTTCTGCAGTGAATGAGTATATTCTAAGTCAATTTCCAGGAGATGAAGTGTCATATTTCAGCGCTGATTCTATTGAGGTGGACCCTGGGAAGGAGGGAGTTGTGGATGCTGATTATTCTACTGAATTTTTGAGCAATCTCAAGATTGGAAACTTTCCAGACCATCATCTGAAACTGAAAGTTGGGTGTCCAGTCATTCTATTACGGAATATGGATCAAACTGTTCGCCTTTGTAATGGTACTAGAATGGTTGTGAAGACTTTGGGTAAATGGTTCCTTGAGGTGGAGATTTTGACAGGTACAAATGTAGGTGATCGCGTTTTCCTCCCTAGATTAACACTATCAACCCATTACAAGAGTCTTAACTTCACCCTCATTAGAAGGCAATACCCTGTTGCTCTTTGTTTTGCCATGACTATTAACAAAAGTCAGGGTCAAACACTCGCCCATGTTGGTTTATGTCTTCAAAGACAAGTTTTCAGTCATGGTCAGCTATATGTTGCATTGTCCAGAGTTACTACTAAGCAAGGATTGAAGATTTTGAGTGCCAATGAGAATGGAGAGGATGGCACCTCAATGGTGAACATAGTATTTCCAGAAATATTTGATTGATTTATTTGAACTTCATCTTAGTTTTTACTTATGATTACAATTTTGTTTTTTTTTGCTGAACAATTGTTAGGCGTGATGTTTTGCTATTCATTTTGGTAAACTACTCATCATGATGTTTGATATTTTATTTCCCTTATTTCCATGGGTATATATTGTTGGTTTAGGGTTGAATTGTTGAATGACATATGTATTTTTTTTATTGAACTATGACCTTCAATGATCCTGTAATATGAAAAACATATTACAATTGCAATGCTACTATGTAATAATCCATATAGCTCCAATATGTATATTTAAGTTCCTATTTACTTGCTATTGAAATGGTTTTCAACATATTTCATTTATTTAAAAAAAAAAGAAGCTTAAAATCGGGAAAAACAATTTAATGGCACATGGAATAATATATTATTTAGTTGCTATTATGTTTGCTACTTCTAAGTGGAATTGTAAGAAAAATAACCATACAATTTGTTGTTATTATTATGTATTTTTTTTGTTCATTTCAATTTGTCTTTTAGGTCTGTTGACATGGAATCCTAATTTTTGTTTGTTGCCGCCAGTGGATTTTAAAAAGTTAAGTCTAGGATATGTAATTTTGTGTATATACTTCTGTAAGGTGGATAGATATATAAATGGACCCAATCTAAGGTTTAAAGTCAAAAACATATTTCACATGGGCCTGCTAAACATTACGGGCCATCTATAGCCCACAGCAAGATCTCAATAGTGAACGTCGTTTCGCAAAACAACACTGCAGTAGGTTTCGGTCCACATTTTGAACTGAAATCGACTACCACCGTCTACTCACAGCTCTCCCAACCCTTCCGGCGGCGATTTATACTATAATAACAATCTCCACCGCCAATTTGAACGCCAGGTGCAGCCACCTATGTGTAGATAGGGTTTCCCATTGTAGCCGGAAACGGGAACAGCACAATCCATCCAGTTGATTGTTATCAGCCTCTTCCTAGGTTGGTGTATTTGAAATTGGCAGGTAACCGCCAAAGTTCAAAAATCCCCTCTTCGATTCATGAGTTCCACATTCTCTTGGCAACTGTCGCAGTCCACACTCTCAGTAACCGCTCCATAGATGTTTCCAGTTGTGGGCAACGTGGGTTGTTTGGTAACTGTTACCACAGCAATGACTAGCCTTTATATATTTCAAGTTCCCCGATTCAGCTCAGTATTCATGTTGCTCTCTGTCAAGTTACCAGGTACCTGTTCTCCTCTAAAATTCTCCATTTGATAAAACCAACCGTCAAAGCAGTTTAGTTCACCCAGTTTATAACTATTTACCACATAATCGTTTGCTAGGTAGAAGATGGATTTCAATGGCATGCGAGATCTTGAGTCTTAGAAACAAATATGGTCAGGACATTGTCGCGTTTCTAGGCTTTGGCTTGGTGCAAGTGTCACGACAGACAAAGTCCTGCATTTAGACATGATCTTGATGGATTCCAAGGTACGTATGTTCTATAAAGGTATCTTCTTTTCTTGATTGATCTTACAAGCTAGATGATTTCATTTAAACGTTGGTTTCAATATTGTCAGGGAAATGATATATGGGTCCACATCCCACCGGTATTGCAAGAGAAATTCAAGGCACTGCTTCAGGAACAAGAAGTTTACATCATCAAGGATTACGAAATTCACACGACCCAACTCAAATATCGCCCTATTGCCAATTCATATATCATGACTTTTAATCGGGCGACTACTGTCCAACGTGTTCCTGATATTCCTTCCATTCCTGCCTTCAAGTTCAGTTTCACTAAAGCAAGTGAGATGAAGGATAAATTGGGACAAATAATCATCCTCTCAAGTAACTGCCCTCTTAATTTTGGATTGCTGCTGCTACTTATGGTATTAATTGGTTCTAATGTTAATTTCCTCTTTTGTATCCTAGATGTTGTTGGCGAGTTGGTGAAGCACTCAAATCTGCTGACCACAACCAATCTTTCTCGAAAAACCACTAGAAAGGAACTTGAGCTGAAACTGATTGAGTAAATTCCTACCACCCTTACACTTGGAGAAGCATGAATAAGTGTTCAATGTGATCATAAATTTTGATTGTTTGTTGTCTTTGGTCCTATCGACTTGATTATGCTTAATATGTAATTGAATGATCTACTCTTATGTGATTCCCATATGTGGTGCCATATTGTCCATAATCATTTAGGTTTTGAAATAGTTTTTCCTTGCTCCACTATGTGATTATTGTGGATCTGCTATGACTTAGTTCACGAGAAGGGTGGCAAGCTTTGTTTAATTTATTGAATACGGTTTGTGCTGGGAAGTTGTGTGTGGCAGAATGAAGAACAGGTCCCTTCTTCATTGTGTTTATCTGGTGTTAGCAGCACTTTATTTTATTATCTTCTTTGTAGGTTAGTTATTCATTACCTATGTCCTTAAAATGTTTCTAAACGTTTGTGCAGAGGTGATATTGTGAGAGTTGTTATCTGGGGTAGAGTTATAACTGAATTTGATAAAATAGTCAAACCTGCTGGTGATCAACCAATTATTCTGGTAGTCACTGCTGTTTCTGTGAATCTATTCAAGAGTAAGCATATTTTTCAATTTATGCAAGTTAATTTTTTGGTATTTGTTATGGATAGAAAGAAATTAACTTGGTCTTTATAGGTCAACTTTCCTTTTCTTCTTCTGGGTCAACAATCCTGTATCCTAACCTTGATATCCCGGAAGTGAAGGCTTTCTCAACAAGGTATTGTTACTAATTCCTACTTGATACTCAATATTTGCACTATATTGTTAAGTCAGTTTTCATTGAAGTGTTTTTTTCTTTTGTTGAAGAGATGTACAACCAGAGCAGCCCCTGTATGTTGAGCTGCCCCCACCTGCCCCTATTCCTGAACTTTCTCTGCCTGAATTGCTGGAATTACATGTGGATCCAAACAGCGAGGTGATATTACATTTTGGTCTTGAATCTTATACATTTCCAACTTATTGTTACATACTAACTTAAATCAGCATTTATTAGGAAGGTGTTTATTCTGTTACTTGCAAAGTAGTCGGGATCAAGCCATTTTGGTGTTACTTGGGTTGCCCAACCTGTGTCCTTAAACCCATAGAAAGGAATGGAGAATACTATTGTGTGAAGTGCAACAAGCTGACTCCAATTAGAGCTGCCAAGTAAAGCACCTTTATTTTTGTTGCCTCAAACTGTCTATCATATGAAAACTACATTATTTGTTAAACTAAGTGCCCTTCTTTCATGTCTGTTCTTTCAGATATCGGATTCAGCTTGTGGTTGAAGCCAATTCAAAGTCAGCAAACTTTATAATTTTCGAGTATGAAGGGAAACGATTCTTTGGCCCAACTGCTAATGAACTATTTAATAGAACTGGTCAAAACTATGAAGAACCCCCTGCAGATCTGCTCAAAGTTGTTGGTGTAACCAAGCTATTCCATGTGAAGTTCAAGCCAAATCTATACAGTGATGCTCAACCCGATTTCACAGTGTTAAAAATTTTGGAGCCTGAAGCAACGGTAAGCTTTCTTATAAGACCTGGATAATTTTTTATGATGTTAAGCTTCCATTTTTTTATCCCATTAGACCCAACACAGGTCTGTTTCACATAAATGCTAATCACATCATACAGGTTTGCTAGCCATAATTCATGTAACTCATTTTTGTTTCTTTCCACAATTTCTATTGCAGAGTTCGGAGTCTAATCTGCACAAGGACAGCTCCTCCTCATCGCTTAGTATTGGACTTGAGTCATCCCAAACTTCATCTGACCAATCCATCCCCATTTCAACAGCCGACGATACTGGATCCATGCCTGTTGACAACAAACTCAAGCGAAAGATGCCTTCGGTTTAATGATGCTTCCTTGGAGGGTGCGAGACCACTGATTTCTTTGTTTCTAAGTTGATTTCTATGTATCCGGATGATTCCTGTTTCCTTACTCCCTTTGGTGTGTCTAAAGTTTTTCCCCTTTGGTGTGTCTCAAGTTCTGAACATTCAATCTTTATTTCAAGGACTTTATGCCTTTCCTTCTATGTTCACTTACGTAGGAGAAATATTAATAGCACGTTTTTGGAATATATGAATAGTAGAATATTACAAAAGTGTTCTTGATCATTTAACTAATTATCATTCTTGCATATAACTATTAGTATCCTAAAGGTTTGAGATAGCCTTGCATATTACAGAGCTTTCTTTTCTTGCAATCGAAATTCCTATATCTCAGAAATTCCATCAACAACTATTTCACTATGCTCAAACCTATTGTTTTGAATGTGTGAATCATTGAATCAATAGTATTTATTTTTGGAGGGATTTAAATAAAGTATTCAACTTATTGCTTTGGTAACGTACCATTATTAATGAAGCTGATGCCGGCGAATAATCTACACCCAAACAAATAATCCATGTTCTCAAACTAATTTCAGTCATGTTTTGATGAGAGGTTACTGCAAAAAAGCTTTAGAACACATAATGTACAATTACTATTCACTAAAACAACCCAAAAACACAAAAGCCTGTTATTACTTATAATAAAATGGGCCAAAAAGCAAAGCCCAATCATTCTTTGGTTGCCATTCGGATGTATAACAAACAAAATGGGCCATATAAAGGATATGCATCAGCCGAAAGAGGGTTTACAACACAAAAAACAGCTGGTCTCCTTGGTCAGCTGGTTTTCACGAAAGGGGAAACCCTACAAGGACTTACGCCGCAGCTGCCGCTCTTCTGGTCCCCCAGCTCCTGCAGTCGATCCCATTCATCATGTACGGCAAGTATTATATATGTATTCTATTTCTTTTCCTTTTGGTTTTCTCATTTTGTCTTCTTGCACAGTTGTAGTCAGACGCTATTGCAGCCCCAAAACTCTATCACAAACAATCTGTTCTTTTCGGCTACAACAGAAGGGAATATGTTGCCGCAAGACCCACATGGTATATTACAGTTATTCGGATAGAAGTTTGTCCGAATGCTTTTAGATATAATGACTCTGGTTCCCTTTTGGTTTTAGATGTAATGGCTGAATCCACCACATTTCGTGAACTTCGTCTTGGAACAAGCAACCGTTTCCTCATGGCTAGATTGTTAAACATTTGGTCAGAATCTGAGTCAGATGGAACTAGATCTATTACCTCCATACATATGCTTTGGTTAGATAAAGAGGTAAAATTATAAACATTGAACACCTATTGGTTTTACTCTTATCACAGAACAGTTATTTTAAGCTCATTTGTACCATTTTAACTCTTTTAGGGACAACTTATGGAAGGAAATGTACACTATGAAGATTCTGCTCATATTTGCAATGAAATTGAGATTGGTTGTCTCTATACCATGATGAATCCAACTGTCATACCAGCTAGATCTGATCGTCGCACTGCACCTTCCTATTTGAGATTGTATTTTACAAAGCAATCTGCATTCAAAGCAATGATTGAATATCGGAGCACAATGCATTTTCCAGATGATTGTTTATTTCAAAGTCCTTTCAATGGCAGTGGTTCTTCAACAAGTCTTCCACCTTGCTTCTCAGGTATTCATTGTTTATACTTAACCTATTGATTTCAACAGGTTGTATTAGAAATTGATGTGCTCAATATTGTATATTATCTACATCACATAGATCAAAACAACTAATATATGTACATATTTCAGATATTACGGGATGTGTAACTCATATAAATGAACCAGCTAAAGTCAATTCTGATACATCTATGTTCCAGATTTATCTTCAAGATATGAGGTACCAGTTATAATTAGTTACTATAATGTCTTACTGAATCAAGATTAGTCTGTAATCATACTTATACTCCGTTTGCCAACTTTTTAGTGGAAATGAAGCACTTGTGAGCTATATTGGCACAAGAATTAAATATTTCATTGAAAGTGCTACTGCCAAAGAAGTTCATTATCCTCTGGTTGTAACAGCAACAGCACTCACCCGAAACATGCACGAATATGACCATATTCCACAGTTTTGTTTCGTAACATCTCCTGGCAGTCGTCTTATAGTACATTCGTACAATGAGATGACCAAAGATTTAATGAATAGGTAAATGGTTATATGTATATGTTCACTTTTAATATATTTTGCATATTTTTTCCTAGAAGCAGTCTAATTTAACTTTCAAAACACTCTAGGATCTTTCCTAATAGACTGCCTGTGGATATCATTGACTACAAATCAAAAGAGCGGCTTGGATACCTTCGGCGTAATATTCCGCCCAGAATCTCATTATTAGAATTTACCAACAAGCTGCCTTTAGGAGAAGAAGAAACAGAGGTAACTATATTTTCCTTCTATGCTCTGTTTTACATTTGTCAAAGAAGACTATTTGAAAAATAAAAAGAAGTTTCAAATTTGATAATCAACAGTAGCAGTGTTTTCAAAAACACCTATTTCTAATTTTTGTATTTCTTCTATATCAAATTATTTAACAGATACTGTATCGGTGCAAACTGAAAATAGTCAAATTCGAGCTTGGTTCTGTGACCCGTGAAGTTTTCCCTGGAGACACTGAGTATTTCCAGATACCTTTGATTTTTTATTCCCTATTATAAAAATACTATACATTGACCAAATGCATCTAATCTACATATTTTTTCATATTATTCTATGAACTGCAGGCTGAATGTGAATCAGGAAATCACAAGGCAAAGGTCATTCTTAATCATGGACCTGCTCTTGCTCTGCTTCGTAAGCCACCGATTGAGTTTACAAAAATGCCATATGACAAGAGAGTTCAGATGCTGAAAGAGTGCTGTAACATCAAATTCATGGCAGAAGTATACATCATTGGATCAGAATATGAAGTTGAACCACAGATTCGCATGTTTGCAATTTGGCATCCAAAAGCATTTCATCCATTACTGGATCTTAAGCTGAACCTATAAACACTGTTCTCATTTTGCAATCCAAGAAGGTAAGAGTCTTCCATTTTTTATTTCAAATACATAAGTTCGGAGTCTAATCTCCACAAGGACAGCTCCTCCTCATCGCTTAGTAGTGGCCTTGAGTCATCCCAAACTTCATCTGACCAATCCATCCCCATTTCAACAGCCGACGATACTGGATCTATGCCTGTTGACATCAAACTCAAGCGAAAGATGCCTTCGGTTTAATGATGCTTCCTTGGAGGGTGCGAGGCCACTGATTTCTTTGTTTCTAAATTGATTCCTATGTATCCGGATGATTCCTGTTTCCTTACTCCCTTTGGTGTGTCTAAAGTTTTTCCCCTTTGGTGTGTCTCAAGTTTTGAACATTCACTCTTTATTTCAACGACTTTATGCCTTTCCGTTTATTAGAAGTACCTCTTTATTTGGTAATTTGAGTGGATGGATTTTTAGTATGCATCACATGAGTAAGAAAAATGGTCAAGCAAAAAAGGGTTTTGTTTTCTTTTTGTGCTGTAGGTTTGTTGTTGTTATGCTACAGGGGTTCCTTATCAACTTGATAAGCTTTGCGGAAACGAAACTCTGGTTTCAGCTTTCTTTTCCTCTAAACGCAGCTCAATGGTGAAAGATACTTTGGAAATTGATGGTCGTCAGTTGAACATGGATAGATCTTTCAAAGGAGATGCATCAAATTATGTAGATCTTCCTGAATTACATGAATCACTGGTTGTTACTGAGCAAGATGCTTTGATAGTTAGCGATCGTCATGTGAATCCGGACTCATCTAGGCAAGTTGGTACAGGAATGAATGACGAATTTTCTGATATGCTTGACTGCATAAGTGTTCCGAGCAATGGAAATCCACAAAATGGTACCCAGAATTGTAATATAGAGGAACCAACTGGTAGCAAATCCTTGGATGTAAGGATGGAAGTACCTGGTAATTCTGACACAGAATGTGAAACAACTCTAACCAGCAAATTGCAGCTTAGCCCTGAAAAACTCCATGTCTCAGCCAGCTCATGTTTCATTAATAGTTTGTTAAATTTGTAGTCCGTAATGAATTTGATTGTTTCCATGAAGAATATTTCCATATCCGACCCTGGTCATAAACCCAATTCTACTATACCAACTGTTGCTACTTCTGAGTTTTATAAACTGAAAATATAATCTCAATCTAACGTTTCCCAATCAAACTTAAGTACTTTGATAATATTATAATGATACATTAGATTCTTCTGCAGTCAAATTAGTAACCAATTTCGGTCAACAATGGCCTCATCATCCTGTTATAGGACTTGAGTTGTAGAGTGAAAAAACACAGGCTGCCTTTGATCGAAAATAATGGAAATCCATCAGAGTGGAGTGTTGTGTTGCCACTGGTCGGTAGCAGAAGTCATGACTGCAGAGCAAACCCACAAAGCCCAGTTTCATTTGTTGTTCATTGATCGGCGGTCAGTAGAATCATACTTGAACATGTAAACCTGAATATAATGAATAAAATATAGTGGATTAGAATTTATTTTCAAACAAAATAAAAAGATGTGCTTTGCTTTCAGATTTCAATGCGGGAACAACTATACTCATGTGAATTCATCATCAATAACAAAATGAAACATATTGAAATACATTTCAGAGAACAATCCAGTTAAATTAAACAACTTTGACATTACCAAAGTTCATATCCATTTGGCATATAGGGAAAACTCCATGTTAATAGTTACTAAGGCATTTCTTGATATGTACTTAAAATCAATGAAAGGTTCATTGACTGCCTCCATTTCCACATGGTGCCTAGATAAAGGTTGCAATATGCACAATCAATCTGACCAAACCCTACATTAATTTTCCCATTCATACTGAAACTTAGAATCCAGTCAACTCTATCCGGAGACACACTACTAGAAGCCTTCAATTATGCTAAATCAGCCATTCCTTCTATGCTCACTTACAAGTGTACA